TGGTGTCCTTACCCTAAACCTTAAACCCTGAACCCTAAACCCTAAACGCCCTAAACCCTAAGCCCCCAAGTCCTAAGCTCAAGATTAACTTTCGAACGCTTCGTCATCGTCGCTGATTGAATGCCCCCGCTTGGATTGCCCCTCGCTGGCCAGCTGGGAGTGCCAGGCACCCGCGCCGTTTAGGAGGGTTTTGGGTTAGGGTTTAGGGCTTAGGGTTTAGGGTTTAGGGCTTAGGATTTAGGGCTTAGTGCTTAGCGCAAGAAGGACTTAGTCAGGGAATTGTGGGCTTAGAGCTCCCTTCGCCTTCGTGTGAACTGTAAGTAGAGCACCTCATAAAACAGTCCTTGAAAAGATTGGGGGGTGGGTAACATACTGGGGCTTTTTGGTTGGGATGGCCCTGAAAAAAACCCTCTGAGACATGTCCTTAGATAGGATCCCTCTTAAGACCAATATGGGAAGAATAGCAAAGGGCCACCCTAAAACGCGGCAAGAGGCACTCTCGTGTGCTCCTTGAAAAAGGCTCAGCGTCTCACGGTTGCAAGGTTCAGGGTTTAGGGGTTAGGGTTCAAGGTTTAGGATTTGGGGGTCGCATTTTAGAGAACCCCAAGCCCAAAACCCCAAAATCCTGAACCCTAAGCCCTAAAACCCTAAAACCCTAAAACCCTAAACCCTAAACCCTAGCCCTAAACCCCCATGCGAGACCGGCACAGCCCCTGGCAGGTACCTCTTGGAGCCCACGGTGTTGCATCTCCTGTGTTGCGGAGTTCGGGTCGTGGGCTGAGAGCTTTCGGACACCTGAGGTTTAGGTTTAGGGTTTAGGGTTTAGGGTTTAGGGTTTAGGGCTTAGGGTTTAGGGTTTAGGGTTTAGGGTTTAGGGTTTAGGGTTTAGGGTTTAGGGTTTAGGGTTTAGGGTTTAGGGTTTAGGGTTTAGGGTTTAGGGTTTAGGGTTTAGGGTTTAGGGTTTAGGGTTTAGGGTTTAGGGTTAGGTTTAGGGTTTAGGGTTTAGGGTTTAGGGTTTAGGGTTTAGGGTTTAGGGTTTAGGGTTTAGGGTTTAGGGTTTAGGGTTTAGGGTTTAGGGTTTAGGGTTTAGGGTTTACGGACCTCAAACAGGTGGAAGGGATCCAACAGGGGGGGGGGGGGGAGGGGGTGTTGTTCGAAAAAGGCCCTTTACAGGGATGGATCATTGGGAGAAGTACCCCTTACGGACAAGGCCTTCCTTGTGGGTTTCATTCCATCATTCGCACCTCCCGGCTTCTGAGGCCGGCGCCCCACTGAGATACTAGAGTCACTGGTGGACGTACTAGGCAAGCAAAAATGTAGCATTGGAGAACAACTATGGTAACTATGGTGCAGAGGTGCACTTAGTAAGCGAAGAGGCAGAGAGTCATGCACGGCCTGCCCTCAAGGTCAAGGGCTGAAGTATGGGCCCTTGGGTTTTATAGGGTATATGAGTCCTAAGCGTCAAGCCCCGTCTCCGTAGGAGAATAAGAACCCTAAGAAGGTACTTTCATGCGGTTTAGGGTTTAGGGTTTAGGGTTTCGGGTTTCGGGTTGCGAGCAGCAGCCTGGAAAGTTGAGGACGTCGACCCCCTACCACTCTGCTAAGCGGTGTCCTCCAAGATCGCAAGGGCCACACCCCATTGATCCTCAAGCCGTGCTTGGCTCGCACATTTAGGGGTTTAAGGTTTAAGGCTTAAGGTTCAAGGTTTAGGGTAAAGGGTTGAGGGTTGAGAGTTTAGGGTTTGTAAGGTTTAGGGCTTGGGGTTTGGAATTGGTTTGGCATCTTTTGGGGGGCAGTAGGCTGCCGACGGCTTCCGTGACTCCGGCAACTCAGCGATTTGCCCTAACCCCCAAGCCGAAACCCTGAAATCGTCTGGCTTCAGCTGAAGCGCAAGCTACCAGCAGCTCCAAGAATTGGGTTCAGGGATGAGGGTTTAGGGTTTAGGGTTTATACTTGGAGGCTCATGGGTAATTAGGGTTAGTGGGTTAGCAGCGGCTTTAACCCAACTTGGGATACTTACCACCCTACTTTAAAAACACCCATGAACCTTCAAGCAAGGCTCACATAGTTCCAGGGCCACCCTAAACCCTAAACCCTAAACCCTAAACCCTAAACCACTATAAAGCGATTGGGGCTGTTCTGATCCTCTGGTAGGTGGCCACTATCGAACGGGGCTGTTGGACCCTTGAGGTTTAACCCTTAAATCCTACGCCCGCAATCCTAGAGCCTAGGCCCTTAACCCTGCCCTAGACCCTAGACCTTAAACCCGAAGCCCCTAAATCCTAAGCCCCCAGAAATGACAAGTGCTCACCAGGAAATGACAATTGTCCACCAAGAAAAAACCCTAAACCCTAAACCCTAAACCCCAAACCCTAAACCCCAAACCCTAAACCCTAGACCCTCAACCACCTGGCAGGCCCTGGAAGCCGCCAAGTAGACCTTGACGGGGGCGCTGTGGGCTCAGGAGTTCTTCAAGTCGGTTTAGGGTTTAGGGTTTAGGGTTTAGGGTTTAGGGCTTAGGGCTTAGGGTTTAGGGTTTAGGGTTTAGGGTTTAGGGTTTAGGGTTTAGGGTTAGGGTTTAGGGTTTAGGGTTTAGGGTTTAAGGTTCAGCAGCTCATGTTCTAGCTTTTTCTAGTCAAGCACTTGTCCAGCTTTGGGAAACAAACCCACATGTCCAAAGAATCCCATGACGTTAAGAAAATACGAAGCTCACTCTAAGCCTCAGGCTCCAGACCCTCGGGCCCTGAACCCTAAGCCTTAAGGCACCCGGCTCAAGTGCTTTAGCTCCACCAAGCCGGCAAAAACTTAAAAACGGGGAGAGGCGAGGGAGGGCGAACCAACAACACCCTCGATCCAACACCCACGCACCCAACCCAGGCCCAGAACCCCCAACCCAGTTGAGAGATAGCACGGGAAGAGGGGCGGGGCCGGGCGGGGTGGTGGGGACGGAACTTGCGGCACTCTGTGGGAGATTTTGTGAGGAACTTGTGGGGTTACATTGTGGGGGACGTTGTGGTGACTTTGTGGGGGACCTTGTGAGGGACCTTCTGGGGTTTAGGGCTAGGGTTTAGGGATAAACCCTAACCACTGAACCCTAAACCCCAGCCCAAGCGGGCCTCGCCATGCCTGGAGGGAAGGTGCTGCGGATACTTTCGCAGGTCCTCGTACAAGGACCTGGCGGAGTTTGCGAAGTTTTGGTTGGAGAAGTAGTGCTTACGGTCTAGGGCTCCTTGGAAAAGCAGGGCCAGGGACTCCCATGTGTCTTAAGGGATGTGCCTAAACCTATTTAAACCCAAAACCCCTAAAACCCTAAACCCATATTGTTATATTGCAAGGAGCATTGCAGGGAGCAACCCCCAAAAAGCAAGCTTCTGCAACAGCTGGGGTCTTTGCGCCCAAAATCGAACTGAGGTTATCGACCCAGGCTGGACCCCAAACAGGGAACCCCAAGAATTGAGTAGGAATAATCGGAATTTACCTACCAGGGTCCTCATAATATTCCCTTTACATTCCTACTATACTCCTGGCGTTCTAAAGCCCCCTGAAATACCAGCAAAGCCTTTTCGCAAGTCTCAACATGCAGCTCGGGTTGGGGCTACTTCTTTGGAAGTCCTTTAAGCTCTGAGCCCTAGATCCTCAATCCTCTTATCCCCCCTGACCCTAAACCCTAAACCCTACACCCCAAACCCTAATGTGGCCGGGAGGGACACGGCCAGAGTCCAGCAGCTTTGATCCTGGTAACTCTGCATCGCCTGTCTGGGGACCCTGAAGGGCCCCAAGGGTTCATGGAGGGTTGGGGGGAGGTTTAGGGTTTAGGGTTTAGGGTTGAGGATTTGGGGTTTGGGTTTTAGGGTTTAGGGTTTAGGGTTTAGGGTTTAGGGTTTAGGGTTTAGGGTTTAGGGTTTAGGGTTTAGGGTTTAGGGTTTAGGGTTTAGGGTTTAGGGTTTAGGGTTAGGGTTTAGGGTTTAGGGGGTTTGGGGGGTTAGGGGTTTAGGGGTTTAGGGGTTTAGGGGTTTAGGGGTTTAGGGGTTTAGTAGGGGTTAGCGGTTAGGGAGTGTATGTATGGTTTAGAAGCCGGGCTTTGAGAATGGCAGCTGGAATTCTGCGGGGGTTGTGGGTCCAACTTCAAGCAAGTCGCGGCTACAACGCCTACGTCACACACACCAGCACTTCGAACCTGCTCCCCTAACCCCTAAACCCCTAAACCCTAAAACCCTAAACCCTAAACCCCAAACCCGTAATTCCTAAACCCTAAACCCCTAAACCCTGCCTAAACCCCGTAACCCCAAACCTCTAAACCCTAAACCCTAAACCCTAAACCCTAAACCCCGACTCACGTCACGAGGGCCAATGAAGTCACAGGAATCTATTGACTGGCTCGTGAGCTAGGAGCTGCGATTAATCCGTCCTGATCCTGAACGCCCTAGAACCTATCCGAAACCCTAAACCCTAAACCCTAAACCCTAAACCCTAAACCTAAACCCCAAGCCCTACACCCTAACCCTACTTGAACAACATACCACCATCGGCTGCAGTGGGACCCGCGTGGCTGGCTTTTTTAGTTTTTAGTCCTACGATTCTGCTTGCAGCCCTACACTCTAAAACCTGACAACCCTAAACCAAGATCCCAACCCCCTGAACCCTGAACCCTGAACCCCAAACCCCACTCTTGGTTTCGTTCAGCACTGGCAGGGCGCAAGAAAAAAGAGACGGGATCTGCCTTTTTCGGATGCCCACCAAGGGAGGGCTACTGCTCTGCAAAGGACATCCCTGGCGTCAGGCGGCGCTGTCGATCTCTGCTTCACGTCGTTGCTGCTCCTTGCAAGCTTTCCACGTAGAACTCGTCGGCTAATAAATAAAACACCTCCTGGGATCTATCAGAAAACAGCTCTGAAGAATAGCCATGGCTCCTCCACCGTCCAGATTGTCGCCAGAGTGGCCGTGCCAGGGGAACCCGAAAACCCTAAACCCCCTAAACTCTAAACCCGAAACCCTAAACCCTAAACCCCAGGTTCAGCCTCCGGCTTGCACCAGAGGGACAGCCATCCCAGGGGAGGCTCCTCGTAACTTTGCTTCCGGTAGGTCTCCGTCCAGTCGAAGCGCGTCGGCATCAGCTCCTTACTGCAGAACATTTCGGGTTTAGGGTTTAGGGTTTAGGGTTCAGGGTTCAGGGTTCAGGGTTCAGGGTTGAGGGTTGAGGGTTGAGGGTTTAGAGTTTAGGGTTTAGGGTTTAGGGTTCGGGGTTTAGGGTTTAGGGTTCAGGGTTTAGGGTTTAGGGTTCAGGGTTCAGGGTTCAGGGTTGAGGGTTTGGGGTTTGGGGTTTTTGGGGGTTTGGGGTTTTTGGGGGTTTGGTGTTTTTGGGGTCTTTTGGGTTTTGGGGTTTTAGGGGTTTTGGGGTTTTGGGGGTTTGGAGTTTTGGGGGTTCTGGTACACCCGAGCTGCTACGCATCCCCCACCCAGAAAGAAAAAACAAAAAACGCACTCGGTTTGGTCATGGGAACCTCCTCATTTAGGGCCCCTTCAAACCCTTCGGGTTTCAGGAAAAAGGGACGGAACCCCAAGCTACCGCAACCCGGAAGGCCGAAGAAAACCCTTCTGCCATTCAGATACCTTAACTTAGGGTTTAGGGTTTAGGGTTAAGGGCTTAGGGCGCAGGATTTAGGGCTTAGGGGTTAGGGGAGTAGGGTTTAGGGTTAGGGTTGGGGGTGGGAGCACTCACCCCAGAAGTGTTCCAAGGCCCAAGATTCGGCGCAGAAGAGGTCGGTGCCGTCGAAGGCATGGAACACCTCTGAGGGGACACTTTGGGGGGGAGGGGGGGGGGGGGGCTGCGGAGGGATAGAGAAACTCAGCTACCAGTGCCATGAAAGGGGCATGTAACGGCATGTAGCAAGTAGTGTGGCTTTGTGCATCTGTTTTGAGCTCTGCAGGTACCCGCATCTGGTGCGTGAAAGGGTTCCGGGCACAACGTTACTGCTCCGTTGAACTTCATCTGATGGCGCCAACACCCGCGCCTCTTCGTATGACAGCTGCACCGGCCCTCTGGAAGCCACTTCCTGCGCAAGAAACCCTCAAGACCGGAAGCATTCTTGATTCCAAAACATGTGTAGACATATACATATACATATGCATATATATATATGCACACACGAAGTTAAAGATGGATGAGTGCATAAAAGTACGAACGCATGAATGTAAAACCCTAAACCCTAGACCCGAAACCCTAAGCCCGAAACCCTAAACCTGAAACCCCAAACCCTTTACGAAGTGGTACTGGGCTCTTTGGGAATCTCAAAGCAACTGGAGCAAACTGTGGGACCTCAGTTCACAAGGCCCCTCTGAAGCTCCTCAACCCTCAGCCCGAAGCCCTAAAAGCCCCCAACCCTATGCCTTAAACCCTATGCCCTGCCTAAACCCTTAACCTTAAAACCTAAATGCTAAACCCTAAACCCTACACCCTGAAACCCTAAACCCTAAATCCCTAAACCCTAACCCCTAAGCCCTAACATACTAACCCCTAAGCCCTAAGCCCTAAGCCCAAAGCCCCAAGCCCTAAACCCTAAACCCTACACCCTAAGCCCCAAGCCCTAAGCCCCAAGCCCTAAGCCCCAAGCCCTAAACCCTAAACCCTACACCCTAAGCCCCAAGCCCTAAACCCTAAACCCTACACCCTAAGCCCTAAGCCCCAAGCCCTAAACCCTAAACCCTACACCCTAAGCCCAGCTCGAAGGTTTAGGGTTTAGGGTTTAGGGTTTAGGGTTTAGGGTTTAGGGTTTAGGGTTTAGGGTTTAGGGTTTAGGGTTTAGGGTTTAGGGTTTAGGGTTTAGGGTTTAGGGTTTAGGGTTTAGGGTTTAGGGTTTAGGGGTTAGGGGTTAGGGTTAGGGTTAGGGTTTAGGGTTTAGGGTTAGGGTTTAGGGTTTAGGGGGTTTAGGGTTTAGGGTTTAGGTTTAGGGTTTAGGGGGTTTAGGTTTTTAGGGTTTAGGGTTTAGGGTTTAGGGTTTAGGGTTTAGGGTTTAGGGGGTTTAGGGGGTTTAGGGTTTAGGGTTTAGGGTTTAGGGTTTAGGGTTTAGGGTTTAGGGTTTAGGGTTTAGGGTTTAGGGTTTAGGGTTTAGGGTTTAGGGTTTAGGGTTTAGGGTTTAGGGTTTAGGGTTTAGGGTTTAGGGTTTAGGGTTTCGGGTTTAGGGTTTAGGGTTTAGGGTTTAGGGTTTAGGGTTTAGGGTTTAGGGTTTAGGGTTTAGGGTTTAGGGTTTAGGGTTTAGGGTTTAGGGTTTAGGGTTTAGGGTTTAGGGTTTAGGGTTGGGCTTCAGACTGCAAATTTTTAGGGTTTCAGGGTTTCGGGTTTCAGGGTATTTAGGGTTTAGGGCCTAGGATATAGTTGTTTAGTGCTTAGGGTTTGGCTGCTTAGGGTTTAGGGCTTGGGGGCCCTCCAGACTAAGGCTAAACCCTAAACCCTAAACCCTCAACCCTCGGGGTTGTCTCCTCCGAGTTGCCCGTGAGCATCAGCAGCTTCCCGCCCGGCGCAAGCAGCTTGGCGTAGACCTCGCCGTGTCTGTGAGGTCCGGACAAAGCCCCCCTCAAAATCAGGGTTTAGGGTTTAGGGTTCAGGGTTTAGGGTTTAGGGTTTAGGGTTCAGGGTTTAGGGTTTAGGGTTCAGGGTTCAGGGTTCAGGGTTTAGGATTCAGGGTTCAGGGTGTAGGGTTCAGGGTTCAGGGTGTAGGGTTCAGGGTTCAAGGTTTAGGGTTTAGGGTTTAACCCCCCTAAAGCCCTCAGTCCCTTCAAGCCCCCAATCCCTTGAAAGCTCTCCAGATCCTTTCCGTTGCGCTCGGCTTGTCTTACTGTTGCTTCGTAGGGAATGAGGGAAGGAGGTACCCTATGTCCTCCTAGATAATTCCTAAAAGGGTACGTATAGGGCCCGAATTCCCTCATAACCCTAAACCCTAAACCCTAAACCCTCATTCCCTACTAACCAACAGCAAGTTGTGGGCTTAGGGTTTAGGGTTTAGGGTTTAGGGTTATTTAAAAAAATCATGGGTAGGAACATGTAGGGCAACCCCTAAGCAGCGTTGAATGGCTACTCTATTTGTATCCCTTACAAGCACCCCATGCGCCTCCAACTGGCTTACGAGGGTTCGGCTGAGCCGGACTTTGGGTATGCCCACACAACCCTAACCCTAAACCCTAAACCCTAAACCCTAAACCCTAAACCCTAAACCCTAAACCCTCGTCCTACATCCTTCGCAATGGAGCTTGAACCCCGGAGCTGAACTGGAAGCTAGATTCACGGGCCTAGAAAGAAACAAAGCAGCTGAGAGTTTGTTCCGTGATGAAAACCTCCAAGAAGGTCCATAATGGAAGAATGTACCTGAACACCGTTGGTCTACACAAGACTGGCTCCGCAATTTTAAGTCGACCCCATGTGACCCCAAGCGGGCCAATACCCTTCAGGACATTCACCTCACATCCAGGGCGTCTATCTTCACACTTGTCAAGGGTGCACTGGTTGATTGGAGAGTATTGGGCTCTTTGGAACCCTAAGCCAAACCCTCAAAGCACTCAACACCTTCAAATCCACAACGCCCCTAGAAACCCACCAAAGCCCAAAAAAAAAAACTCAAAGCCCCATAACAGCAACCCCAAAGCAGGGAGGCGCCCTGCCTGGGCGGCCGCCTCCGCGTCCACCTGGTAGAGGCAGTGGAAGCATTGGCAGTCGAAGATGAAATCGAACTCCCAGCTTCCTGGCAGTAGGGCCTTTACGGGCCATCATTTTTCACACATAGATGGCGGGTGATTCCTCTTTAAGGGCTTTTAGGTTCTTTTTGTGGACTTTTAGGGGCTTTCGTTCGGGCTTTTGGGGGTTTTAGGCCATGGGACGTCTAGGGATTTGGGGGTCTATGGCTTGTCTTGGGCTTCTAGGGGCAGCGCGCTTGGGAGTCATTCTCTCTGCTTGCTGGTTGCTGAGCTCAATTCACGAGAGAGGAGCTCCGGCGAAGGCCTTCCGGCCTTTCACCTTTGAGCCTGGAGGCCCCCCCCCAAAAAAACTCCGGAAAAGTCACAAGTAAGCCAAAGCAAGTAAAAGAAAAGGGGCAAGCAAAAAATCAAGCTACAGCGGCCGGTGTTCGGGGACTTTGGGGGGGCAGGCTGTGGGTTTTCGTAGGGCTTTCTGAGGGCTTTTGGGGGTTGAGGGTTTGAGGACAACAAGAGCTCTGGAGCTGCGCTGAACAGGCAGCACCCTAGGGGTTTGGGGATTAGGGTTTAGGGTTTAGGGTTTAGGGCGTAGGGCTTAGGGTTTAGGGTTTAGGGTTTAGGGTCTAGGGTCTAGGGTCTAGGGTTTAGGGTTTAGGGTTTCCCTAAAGCCACCCGAATTTCGAACCTTTCAGGGCACCTCCATCCAACAGGTATATGGCATCGTCCGGCAGCTCGAGGACGTCGGCGCAAAGAACCTGCGCCTTCATGCAGTCCATGCGCGCCTCCTCGGTGACTCTTAGGGTTTAGAGTTTAGGGTTTGAGGCTTAGGGTTTAGGGGTTTAGGGGTTTAGGGGTTTAGGGGTTTAGGGGTTTAGGGTTTAGGGTTTGGGGTTTAGGGTTTAAGGCTTAGGGCTTAGGGCTTAGGGTTTAGGGGTTTAGAGGGCTTAGGGTTTAGGGTTTAGGCTTTGGGTTTTAGGCTTTAGGCTTTAGGCTTTATGTGGTGTTTGGGTTTTCCCTAAGGGAGTATAAGGGCCATGTTGAGGGGAACCTTGGGGGCTACATCCCTAGGGTTACGAGTCTTCATCCCTTGAAACTCTACACCCGAAGCCACAAACCCTAAAAGCCCGAAAATCCGTCGAAAAACTTGAACACCCTAACGGCCCCCGAGAAACCCTTAAAAAACCCTAACAAGGAAAAGCCTTTGAAAAAAAAAACTTGTGGCAAAAAAGAACCCTTAAAACACCCAAAGGCCTGCCACTTCTCCTGGCCTCTTTGCCCCTCACAGCCCACTCTTCCTCTCCCATCCCAACCGCCATACCAAGGACCCTCAAGCTGTGAGGATTTAGGGTTAAAGGGCTAGGGGTTAGGGGTGAGAGGTTAAGGGTTTAGGGTTAGAGGGTTAGGGGTTAGGGTTTAGGGTTTAGGGGTTAGGGGTTTAGGGCTTAAGGGTTCGAAAAACGCAGAGGAAGAGGTGCATCAGACGAAACTGGCACGACCTGCTTTCTTCTTTCAACATCTGAGCAAGCTAAGTTGGTGACCGGCCTCCTTTACGAAACAACAAAATGCCATTTACTTGAAGAGTGCATCTTCGACATGTGCCAGAGTCATACACCTGCCAGAAAAAACTTCCCTAAACGGCCCCACACCCGAAATCCTAATTCTTCAAGCCTAAACTCTCAAAGCCTAAAACTTAAGCCCTGAACCCTAAACCCCAAAACCCAAAAACCCTAAAGTGCCATGGAGCCCTAAGCGCAACCTGGCTGGACTTCACTGCATCCTCAACGATGTCGATGCCACAAACCTGACTGAAGGGCGCATGTCGCGCGATTGCAGGATGATTGACCCTGACCTGCAAAAACGACTCAGGTACCCGAAGCGCCACATGGGGTTTAGGGTTGAGGATTGAGGCTTTAGGGCTTGGGGCTTAGGGCTCTAAACCCAAACCCCAAACCCGACCGAACCTCTCAGAAGCCGATTCGCCGACAGAGCTTCCGGACTCAGGGACAAAGAGCACCTTGGTAGCCCACTAAGCATCTTACAACCAGGGTACCCCTTCTTTTGGTTGGTTACTTTGCAAGGGACCGCAGAACCCCAAAAAAGAAGGGTAAAGGGTACAGCTGGGCTACCAAGAACCCCAAACCCCCAAACCCTAGACCCTAAACCCCAAACCCAAACCCTAAACCCTAAACCCCAAACCCTAAACCCCCAAACCCCAGACCCTAAGCCCTAAACCCTGAACCCTAAACCCCAAACCCTAAACCCTAAACCCCAAACCCTGAAATGGCCTCAGGGCTCGGTGCCTGAAGATTCTTGCGGCCGCAGGAACAAAGCGGGTATGATGTGCCAGCGCGACCAAGTTCTCGCCGGTGCCTCAGGGAGGGGGCAAGCGTTTAGGGTTTAGGGTATAGGGTTTAGGGTTTAGGGTTTAGGGTCTAGGGTTTAGGGTTTAGGGTTTAGGGTTTAGGGTTTGGAGTTTAGGGTTTAGGGCTTAGGATTTTGGGTTTAGGGTTTAGGGTTTAGGGTAGAGGGTTGAGGGTTCAGGTTGTAGGACTTCAACGACCTCAAAACAAGAGAGGGTCTGTGCAGCTGAGGCTTCAGCTTGCGCCTGGGAGTTGCAGGGCTTGCATCGTCACACCGGCTTCCCTATGGACTGCGATGTGGGCTACACACCCCAAGCCCTAAGCCCGAAACCCTAAACCCTGAACCCTAGCCCTAAACCCTAAACCCGAAACCCCAAACCCGAAACCCTGAACCCTGGACCCTTAACCCGCAAGTGCCCCCGAAACGCCGGCAAGGCGCCACATCCCAACTCCAAAGCCCGTGCCGAGGGCAGCAGCTTACCATCACCGATCTCAGCTTCGAGCACTTTAGCTGCAGGGCTCTTAGGGTTTCGGGTTTTTAGGGTTTAGGGTTTAGGGCTTGGAGTTTGGGGGCTGGGACGGGGTAGGGTTTAGGGTTTGGGGTTTAGTGGGGGGGGGGGGGGGGGGGGGGATGCCTCATATGTGGGCCCATATTAGAATCGGCAGCACCCACAGACGAGCGCCCCACACACTCACCCCGAACCCCCACAAGCCGAGATCGGCGAACCACCCGTAAAACTGGAACCCTAAACTATAGGTTCAGGGTTTAGGGTTAACCTCCTAAGCCACTAAACCCCTAAACCCTAAACCCGTAAGCCCCTACACCCCCAAACCCCTAAACCCCTAAACTCCCAAACCTCCAAGCCCCTAAACCACTACACCTTAAGCCCACCTGCCTCATTGCAGACAGAAACCCTAAACCCTAAACCCTAAACCCTAAACCCTCACTGCAGACAGCAGGGCGTACTGCAGCAGCTGCGACGCTGGCAGATGGCTTCGCCTCTTCTGGTGTTCGACTTGCGCGAGGATCACCCTTCTATACCTTCGATGTATTATATACATCATATGAGAGCATGCATATATGTGTATATACATATAAGAAATTGGTATACACATTCTTTCTTTCTTTCATGTTTATTTATGTCTTATGAATAAGTTCTATGGATTATACTCATCATATTGTCACTCTTATATAGTCTCTATCGACCTGAATAGTCCCACAGTAGCCCCTGACCTTCAGACCCCTGCGGAATGAGCCGAGGTTCCATGCCCAAGAATAGGGAACCCTGATGCACAGCTGCACGCCCCCTAAAAACGCCCTAAACCCCAAGCCCTAAACCCTGAATCACAAACCCTGGACCCCATACCCTATACCCAGACCACAGACCCCATACCCGAACCCTAAACCCTAAACCCTAAACCCCAAACCCTGACCCCAAAAGCCTGAACCCGAGCAGCCAACAGGCCTTAAGCCCTACAAGTACCCTGAACAACAATCCTAAACCCCACACCCTGCACAGTAAAGGTTAAGGAGCTCCCCGAAACCCTAAACCCTAAACCCTAAACCCCTACGCCCAAACCCGGGAGTGGTGCCAAGCCACCATGGCAGGTGATCGATTCCGCTGTCGGACTCTTCCTCAGCGGCCTGCACTTTATCTTGAGTCCCAAAGCTCACAGTCATGGTGCTTCAAGTATGGCTATGGGTACTCAACGTAACATCTCTATCCAAATCGGTGATCGTACTCTTTAACCTACCCACGAATGCCCGCTGTGCCTCCAAGAGCCCTGAACCCTGAACCCTGAACCCTAAACCCTAAACCCCAAACCCTAAACCCCAAACCCTAAACCCCAAACCCCAACCCTAAATCCACCTCAAGCCTCCAAAAAACCGGGCACCTTCCGGTGTGGTGCGTAGGTTCCGTCGTAGAAGCCTCGCCACTTGCCGCGCCGGAGCCAATCCGCATCCAGGGGGTCAGACATGGCAAACTGCTGAAGGGTAGTTCTCTAAACTAGGGTTCTAGGGTTTTAGGGTTTAGGGTTTAGGGTTTAGGGTTTAGGGTTGAGGGTTGAGGGTTTAGGATGGGTTGGGGGATTGAGAGTTGGGGGGTTCTGATTTTATGGGTGCCGTGCTGTATGGGGGATCCAAAAAGGGACCCTCATTTAGAGAACTACCCGGACTTGCGCTGAAGCTGGGAGGTGGGGTACCCCATGTCGCCCGTTAAAGGGCTTAGGGGCTGAAGCTTAGAGTTTAGGGCTGCATCTAGGGTTAACTGCTGGCTCTCTGAAATCCCCAAACCCTACATTGTCCCTTGATCTGCTTCGGGGTTGGGGTTTAGGGTTCATCTAGGGGGATGCAAGGCAGCTAACTCCCAATTTAGTCTCTCATGTGTCTCAAGAGACTAGAATCTGCTGTACTAGAATACACTGTCGGGCGTGCGATATCGTACACTAGAATACACTGTACTCTATGCTAACCCTAAACCCTAAATCCTAAATCCTGAACCTGTACTAGAACATGAAAATATACAGCAATGTGCTGCTCGAGTTGTGCAGCTCGGGCCAAGCTGTGGGCACATGCAAATCGTAATCGCTAGGGTCCGGATTTTGTGGTTTAGGGTTTAGGGTTTAGGGTTTAGGGTTTAGGGTTTAGGGTGTAGTTTAGGGTTTAGGGTTTAGGCTTTAGGCTTTAGGGTTTCGGGTTTAGGGTTTAGGGTTTAGGGTCTAGGATGGATCCCTAAATCCCTGGGCCCACGAATTTCCCCCGATTTAGGGGGCGTGCCCCCGAAAGAAAGCTGCTAAGGGCTACGAGCATCCGAGGTTGTGAGGACCGCGCACAAGTATCCGCAGCTCTCGCCCACTTAGGGTTTGGATTGTAGGACCGTGGGATGTAACGCAAGGTTCCCTAGAACCCCCCACTACTCCCCAAGCTTCCCTAAGGTTCCCTAGGTACCTATCCCCAGCCCTAAACCCCAAACCCTAAACCCCAAACCCTGAACCCTAAACCCTAAAACCCTAAACCCATGAACCCTAAACCCCTAAACCCCAAACCCTAAAACCCTAAACCCTAAACCCTATGACTCCCAGGCGGAACACTTCAAGAGCTCCCCAACAAAGCTGCCCCTTGCCTCCAGAAATGCGGCCTGCGTCACTGCCTTGATCACCTGAGGGGGCTCTGGGGTTTAGGGTTTAGGGTTTAGGGTTTAGGGTTTAGGGTTTAGGGTTTAGGGTTTAGGGTTTAGGGTTTAGGGTTTAGGGTTTGGGGTTTGGGGTTTAGGGTTTAGGGTTTAGGGCTCAGGGTTCAGGGTTTAGGGCTCAGGGTTTAGGGGTTAGGGTTCAAGGCTATTCGGGCTGTTAGGGTTTAGGGCTATGAGGGGTTAGGGTGGGGAGATTGTTGGGGGCACAGGGGTACGTATAAGCAGGGTCTAGGGCTACTAGGGTTTAGGGCGATTAGGGCTTTTCGGGTTTCAGGCAATTTGGGCTATTAGGGTTTTAGGGTTTAGGGTTTAAGGTTTAGGGCATAGGGCTGAGGGTGTAGGGTTTCGGGTTTCGGGCTCTGGAATCATGAGGTTCTGGGGTCTGGGGCCATGGGCTTTACAGGGCTGTAGGGGCCATAAGGTTTTGAAACCCTACACGACGCCCTAACCCCAGATGGCCTGAACCTCCAGGGGTGGGAGATGTCCTCCCCCCTAAACCCTACCCCAAACTCCGCCCCAAACTCCACACCCTGAACCGAGGAGAATGCTTTGTAGGACTCACGCCTTCGTCACTTGGCCCATGGAAGGCCGAGTTCAGGAGTTTAGGGGTTTAGGGATTAGGGGTTTAGGGGTTTACGGGTTTAGGGGTTCAGGGGTTTAGGGGGTTTAGGGGTTCAGGGGTTTAGGGCTTTAGGGGGTTGAGGGCTTTAGGGGGTTGAGGGGTTTAGGGGGTTTAGGGGGTTTAGGGGGTTTAGGGGTTCAGGGGTTCAGGGGTTCAGGGGTTCAGGGGTTCAGGGGTTTAGGGGGTTTAGGGGGTTTAGGCAGTCGTCAGCTCAGCACCAAGGACCCGGCGCTCTCATGACCCTCGATGCCCTGTCGGCCCAACACAGGATGGGAATGGTTCAGGGTTCAGTGTTTAGGGTTTAGGGTTTCGGGTTTGCGGTTCAGGGTTTTGGGTTTGGGGTTACAACGCTTTGGAGCGCGTGCGTGGGCTGAAAGGTTTCTGGGCATGGACAGGTGTCAGTGTCAGCTGTTGGCGATAATCGTTTTGCTCGAAAAGCCACGCGTGGTCCTTCGCAGACAGACCAGTCTTGTGGCGGACATCGAAGCTGTCCAGTACGAGGGGTGCGGAAAGTAGACAACAACGACGAGAGCATTGTACAGAATCCCGGGATCTGAAGGAGCCGACGACTGGCAAGCACATTAACATTCGTGGAGAGCTTCGGCCAAGAACCAAGAAGATTGAGCCGTCGCATCTGCCTTTTGCCATGAGAAATGGCTGACTCACAGAGGCGCTCTTCGCTCCTGCGAGCAAAGCACGCGGATTCCGCTGGGCGGAAACAGCCATGGTCGAAGAGGTGGGAGGCCCGAGGTCGGAGGAAGCAGCCGTCGCCGACAGTGGAAGAACCCTGAAGCCTAAGTGAGGAAAACCAACCCTCGAAAATGAAGGCAAAGAGAACTTGAGCTTGAGAAGAAGTGGCAGGGCATGGTTGCTCCGGCAGACAATGCCAGAAACAGAGGGGGCAACAGGTGGCTACTCCACGCAAACGTCAACAACATCGCTGCAGACGAGGAGGTCCAGGGTGTGGTTAGAGTAGGCCAGCAAGGCCCGGGGCTGACGTGCACGAAACTCCGGGTCTTCCAGTTCAGAGAGGTTCCATGGCTGGATGGCTCTGAAGAAAGTGGTCTTGCCCTGAACACTGGTAGCCCCGAGTGATTCTGCATGTGCACATCGTGAGAGGTATACGAAGCACTACGCCACTACGCATGCCGAGACTTCTGCAAGGGGCTCGGGTAAGCAGTTCTGCGCACCAACGTCGGGTCGGTGGGTACAACCACGGTGACTTACTTGCAAGTTTCCCCTGGTTGGCAAAGTAGCCGCGTGGGAGCCTGCTGTGCGCTAGCAACGAGTGCTTCGCAAGACGTTCCCTGCTTTTTTGTCCAGGCCAAGTGCACCGTCGTGTCCAAAAAAAGGACGCGTGGCAGAGCCATTCTGATGTCTGGGTACCCACGAGCCTTGTCAAGTATCGTGCCCCATCATCCAGCTGCTTGAGAACATGGTAGCCAACGGGACCCATGTTTTGTCGAGAACAAATTCCGTGGCCTTGAAAGCTTGAACCCCAAAGCCTCAGTCCTAAACCCCAAACCCCAAACCCTAAATCCCAAACCCCAAACCCCAACACCCTACACCCTAAACCCGCCGCCCACCTCGCGTTGCAAGAGCTGCCGCAGAATCTCCGCGGCATCCTGTTTGCGTGATTTCGGGATCGGAGCCCTCTCTGGCCCAGAGAGGGTCCACTTGTGAAGGTTTAGGAGTTTAAGGGTTTAGGGTTTAGGGGTTAGGGGTTCCGGGTTTAGGGTTTGGGGGTTCGGGGCTAGGGTTTAGGGTTCAGGGTTTGGGGGTTCGTAAAATTTCCAGCCAGCAAACGAGCCGAAGTCATGCTTTGACGGCAACGTTGGGGAACCTCTGCAAGGACTTGCCTGAAGATCAAAGAAAAACCCCGATAGCGCTGGAACCATGCCAAAACAATATGGAGAATTGCCACATGTCAACGTGTCTCTCGCCCCACGAAAACCAACCAAAAAGAATGCGCGGCGGCAAAGGTAGGGACCTGCGTGTTCGATTTCTAGGGTTAGCAAGCCTTGTATAACCTCATAATCTGTAGCTACACTACTTGGAAGCGTATCAGGAACCGTGAACCTCCAAAGTAGGGTTTAGGGTTTAGGGTTTAGGGTTTAGGGTTTAGGGTTTAGGGTTTAGGGTTTAGGGTTTAGGGCTTAGGGTTTAGGGTTTAGGGGCAACCCAACCTTCGGCAACTGCGCAAAACAAAAAAAAACGGAGCCTCATTGAGGCCCTGCTTCACGGCACCGCGCACCTTCTTGCAAATCAAGTTGTGGTCTCCCTAAACCCCAAACCCTGGCCCTAAACCCTAGACCCTAAACCCTAAACCCTAAACCCCAAAATCTAAACCCTAAACCCTGAGCCCTAAACCCTGGACCCTAAACCCTAAACCCAAAACCCAAAAGTGCAGTGCTGGGGCCCTTTGGGGGCAACCCTAAAAGCCCGAAACCCTAAAATCTTAGGGTTTAACGGATTAAAGGCTTAAGATTTAGGGTTTCGGGTTGAGGGCTACAGGGCTCCATGTGGGGAATTGAGGGCTTCAGGGCTACAGGGCGCAGAGTGGGTTGTGGAGGGCTTAGGGTTTAGGGTTTAGGGTTTAGGGTTTAGGGTTTAGGGTTTAGGGTTTAGGGTTTAGGGTTTAGGGTTTAGGGTTTGAGGGGATCCTACAGGGCTCCCTTAACCCCAAAACCCTAAAACCTAAAAGCCTCAAGCCAAAATCACTAAAACCCCCCCAAACCCCCAAACCTTCAAGCCTTGAAGCCCTAACCTCCTACAACCCTAATCTCCAGAGCCCTAAACCCTAAACCCTAAACCCTAAACCCTAAACCCTAAACCCTAAACCCTAAACCCTAAACCCTAAACCCTAAACTCCAGAGCCCTAAACCCTAGCAAGCCCTAAAGCCCCAAAAAACAAAAAAGCCAGAATGACAAAACAAAACCTTCAACACAAATACAATGCGCAAAACTACTGTTTGCTTCTTAAGAACCCCAAAAGAATAGAAACTAATAATCCCTGTATTACCCTTAATAAGGAATAATATTTTAATTCTTTGGGGGTTCTTAAGCAATTAGTAGTAAAAGAAGCCAAACACCCTGAAACTCCTGAAGCCCTGAATGTTCTAAAGCCCGTTTTGAAAAGAGTGCCCCCCACCCCCCCCCCCCCC